CGTTTTTTTTGTGGATTGTTCTTTTGTTAAAATTGTGGAATTCCATTGAATTTTTATTTATTATTATTAGGCAATTATCAAATGCATGTTGACAAATGTGTGATTTATGATATTCTCTGTGTTCTCTCTATTCTCTTTTGTGTAATGGTCTTGAGGTTTCTCCTATATAACATTTATTGCATTCGCAAGGAATTTTATAAATTACATTTTTCGAATTTTCAATTAAATCATGAGGTTTTGTTACTGAAATTTTACTTCTAATTGTATTTTCAGTTTTGAAGATAGTCCTAATATTTCCGCCTCAACAATATAGAACTTATCTACTAATATGTTATCACACTAGATGCCGCTGACTGAAGGACAATCATCACTCAACTTTCTAAAGTTTTACACATACAGGTATCATGCGACTAGACAAAAATACAGAATGTAGATGAATAAATTAATTAAAAGATAGACAGTTATTGTGAAGAAAGATGCAAAAAATTGGTTTACACAGAAAAACATTTTGAATACACATAAAAAACCAGACATTTTTTCTTAATACTACGAAATTTTTCAAATAGAATTTCGTAATTTTTAATGCCAAATTAATGTCTGCAAAATCTGAATTCCAATATTGTTGGAGGGGGACCCCGTGCGTGTTCAATGTTGCCAAAATAAGCGAAAATAGCAAGTGCATGAAAAGAAGATGAGTAGCATAAATGTCAGTTTCGACATTTGGCTTAAATGTCTCAAAAAAAAATCATCATAAATTGCGTTTTGAATTAAATTCTCAACTAAAATAGACTAGTAATGATCGTTTGATGAATAGCGATTAAGAATGAAGGCGCATTCAGGTCAGATATTATCTGCATTACGCAGCGCACTCAAAAAATGGCAATAGTCGAACGACAAACTTAGGCTTTCTTTGTTTGTTGGGGGTTCTATAGAAATTCTTTCCATTCATCTCTATTTTTATCCGTCCTTATTACATTATTTTATATAATACAGTCGAAGTGAAATGCTCCATTCCTCTTCCCTTTAAGGTAAGTGCCAGGTTCGGTATTTATTTATTTTTTAGGGCCAAGGATCAGCTGATTTTGTTTTGATCGCTCGGAATGTAAATAGATGGAAATTTTACATTGTTCAAATTCTTTCTTTGTGTTTTTGTTCCACTTCCAATGCTCCAAGTGCAATGTTGGAAATAGCAATTGCGAATTCGCTTGGGCAGAGCATTTACGCCGTTTCTAATTGCTTAAACGGCTTTCCAGGCTCGCATGTTTTTACGGATACCGTGACTAGAATAATACTGGCACTGGATTTTAAATACACTTAATATGATGTTTCAGTTTCAAATCAAATGTAATCATGGCAAATAACTATGCATCGCTGAATGAAGCCCCGGACTTTTATGGGGAGTACGGGATTCCACATCATCATGTGGCCGAACCGAGAAGTTCTCAATGGAACCACATCGAAGACTTGGACTCGTTTTTCACCAGAGTCTACAAATACCATCAAATGCACGGTTTCAAATGCATTGCATTGAAAGTAATAAGATGGGCTTGTAACTAGAAGAAGGTTGTAGCTGGATGGTTTTTTTTTTAGGAAATATTCGCGTTGCATCGGTTCACCTTTATTGCTGGCATAACGTTCACCATGCTGTACGCCTTCGACTACAAGTTGCTATTCAAGCCTGATATTACTTCTGACCAGAAATGGATTTTCTCACTGCTCATACCGTTTGATCAAGTAATTCGGTGAACTGAAAATCCGAACAATTCGCTTCAAATCAATGTATTTGCAGGTGATGTCGATACTGCCATATTTCGGGTGGTTTCTTCTTCTGGTCGTGACCGTCATCTTTACGCTCATTTTTATCCGAAAAGTTCAGTCTCTCTTCAGGTATTGGGATATTAAGCAATTCTACAATCAAGCCTTGAATATTGACGATGCCGATTTGGATAATTTAACCTGGCACGATGTGCAAAAGCGACTGATTCAGGTAAAGGCACAGCAGAATGCAGAACATACGAGTGCTCGAAGACTTTCATTTATTCTGTAATCGTTTCAGGTGCAATCCGATCTGCAAATGTGCATCCATAAAAGCGATTTGACTGAACTCGACATCTACCATCGCATTTTAAGACAGATTAATTATCTAGTGGCGCTGGTTAACAAAAGGATACTGCCGCCCAGAATCGATGTACCTTTTTTGGGAGAAGTAGTCTATTGGACGGAGAACTTGAGGTGATTGAAGGCGAATTGACAATATCTGTTGGATTAGAGGAATGCTTTTTTTGCAGGCTCAATGTGATGTTCCTTCTTTTCTGGTCGCCGTGGGGGCCATTCGAGAATCCGTGGCATTTGCGGGATGAATACAAAAGAGCTGCCAACAGGGATAAAATGGCCAGAAAACTTGGAAATCAGATTTTATGGCTGTTTTTCGTCAATCTGCTCCTCTGCCCGTTGGTTTTCATCCCGCAGATAATCTTCTACTTCTTCAATTACTTCGATGCGGTCAGGCGGGAGCCTGGGCAGTTTGGGGTTCGATATTGGTCCAATTTTGGGCAGCTCTACTTCCGGCTAGTTGAAAGTGAGTGGTTTTGTGAAGTTTTTAACTAATGGTTGGATTTTTAGGCACTTCAATGAGATGGACCACGAGCTCTATTCCCGTCTAACTAGAGCCTACAAGCCTGCAACCAAATACATGAGCTCCTTTACCTCCCCTTTGCTGGAGATCATTGCAGAGCATCTGTCTTTTATTTGTGGCTCCATCCTGGCGGTGTTCGTCTGTCTTAGCTTCGTGGACAATGAGATTCTCTACTGGAATCAAGTACTTGTCGCCCAAATAGACTGGAAGGTGATTTTGAAGGGGTTTTCTTCGGCTTTTCCAGGTACTGACCATGCTGGCCGTTCTGACCGGCATTATAGGGATTGCGCGCAGCCTGAGGTCGGACAAGACGTTAATTTGGTGCCCTGAACAACTACTAGAAGATGTTGTGCTGCACACTCACTATCTACCGGGTGTTTGGCAGGGATTCGCTCATACTTCCAAAGTGAGGAGCTCATTTCAACAACTGTTCCAGTATCGGTGAGGTTTTGCAGCAATTGCCGGCTCAGACTCTTAACTATTAAATTGTCCGCAGATTTGCCGCTCTGTTAGAGGAACTGCTCTCGCCCATTCTAGTCCCCTACCTCCTCATCCGGTACATCTACCCCAGAAGACTCGATCTAGTAGATTTCTTCAGAAACTTCACTGTATCCGTAGTGGGAGTTGGTGATGTATGCAGTTTTGCGCAGATGGACGTTCGCAAGCACGGCAACCCGGATTGGCAGGCCGAGCGCGATGTGGAGTCTACGCATGAAACTCCTCCTGAGGTAGTTGGAAGGGTTTTTCCAACTGAAACGTTGTAATGCCTGGCCGGTTTTAGATTAACGACCAGTACACGCAGGCCGAAGACGGAAAAGTCGAGCTATCGCTGATGCACTTTACCAACACGAATCCCAACTGGCAGCCGCCACCTGAAGCTGCGGACTTTGTCGACAACCTTAACAAGGAGACTAACCATGTCTTCTTTAGCGACGGTAATGAAACTCACTTTCAACGCTTAATCTTGGTTAAAACTTGCGCCCAACTTGGCAAACAGCCACATCTACGCGATTTCAAGCCCTTAATTGAGAACTTGGTTTTTTTTCTGAAAATCCCGTTACCTACTGGCTAGCTTAATGCCTTGATATTGCAGATATAGGAGGTCTTTACGGTATGCGGTCTAGCATGGACTTTGGGACTCGGCAAGAGGATGAAGAGGATTTCTCGCTTCCTCAATACGCGGCGGATGCGCCTTCGCAAACGGCTTTCCGTCGCTCTTTTGGCGGATTTCGCAGCTCCATATTGGCGGGCGGAGCGCCACGTCGCAGCATGTTCAATCAGCTAGCTGAAGGACCGGATCTGTTCAGCAGCGCCCAGAATATGAGGGCGAGCACGATGATTCTCCATAACAGGCATGCTATGAAGTAAGTCTTTTTGTTTTAAATGGTTTGGTTCAATCCAGCGATTAATGCGCGCTTAAATCGAATGTTACAGGGGGTTTGAAGCGGATGGTTGGGCCTTTAAGGCGG